ACGTATGTACTCGCTGGTTGCTGTTGATGAAGAAAAGTTCAGTTGCTATTCTGCTTGGGTAACGGCAGTTTTGTTTCATATCGGCATCTACAATTTCATGTTGTTTTCTGTTTCTTGTTGAAAAAACGTCCCTGTCAAAACAAAGACTAGTTTTGATCCACCGATACACAGCCTGTGGGTCAATGTACGGCTAAATGTGTCATGTTTTGTTGAAAGTAACCTGAGAGCTTATCACAACCAATCGATTGCCGAGAATCAATTTGCTTCGGGACTGCTCTCTTCAACAAGTGAGTTGATTGGCTAATTGCCATTCAAAGGAACCACAGAGCATGCCCCGGATGTAAACAGGAGCACGGCGTCTGTGGAAAGGCAAACACATGGCCGGCCGGTCAGCACGTTCCGGCTCCTGCGGACCAGCTGGCGTTTCCGTTTCGTGAGGTGCTGGATGCAGTGGTCACGTTCTCCCCCTCCCTAATAGAGCGCCGAGTCTCCTCCCGACCTACTTACTGCAAATGTACTTGGTGCATTTAGTTGCATCTGCATTGGGTTCCTAAATACACAGCTACAGACTGATCTATTCTAGTCATGCAGCGAGTGAGTTTGGTTTACGCTGCTTGCAACACTATTTCCTGCATATTCCACAGTGCGACACAGGGAAGACAAATAATAACAATCATAATCATAATCATAATCATCATCATCAAAGTCGCACAGGTTGTATATGTATATCACTTTATTGTAGTTTGTTTGTTGTTTAATGCCGCACTCAGTAATATTACAGCTATGTGTCTGGACCAGACAAACTAGTGATTGATATTATGAGCAAAGATTCACGTTGAAGGGGTATGTGTCAGCCAAGACACTGCGTCTAACCTCGTCATCCATTAAGGCGCCTCGTACGACAACATGGTTTCTGGGCACTTATTCTAACCTTGGGTTATACATGTAAACCACAAGCACGGGAACAAAGTGGCAACCGGAACCACTATAGGCGGATCCTGGTGCAAAAGAGGGACTTAACTATGCACAGCGACCGTAGGTGTTATTTTATCACTGGGACCTTACATGACTTGACGGAGTGTGAATTAATGTTACTTCAGATTTAAATGACCGTCAGTATTTTCGGCATCAGTCACAGTCTCTACTTACGACATATAAAGGATATTTTTTCCCAAGAAAACTTTTATGATACAACTAATTATAAATGAGGATCTCTTGGCTCTACTCATCTTTTGGCCCCACAAGGCAGCGTTTCAACCTTGTTGATCTGTGGCCTTGGTCGTTACCTTGCTCTTTGGCCTCCAGATGGCCCTTTGGTCAAAAGTAACTTGTCCTAACCTGAAAAGGTCTTGGTCATGAACTGCTATAAATCTCGTTGATGTAACACCCGAGTTATATCGCAGGAGGCTGTTGAAGTCACCTCTGTACAGTTATGGAGTCGGTGGGAATGATTGTTTGTTTGTTTTTAACGCCGCACTCAGCAAGTGTCCATCTATATGACGACGGTGTGTAAATAATCGAGTCTGGACAAGACAATCCAGTAATTGATATCATGAACATCGATCCACGCTATTGGGATCGATGACATGCATCAGCCAAGTCAGCGAGTCTGACCACCCGATCCCGTTAATCGCCTCTTACGACAAACATAGTCGCCTTTTACGACAAGCATGGGTTGCTGAAGACCTATTCTACCCCAGATCTTAACGGGCCTTAGATATCCTAGACAAGTCTAGACGGACCTCTACAACACTAGAGCAGGTTGGGTAATGCAAGAAGGCGAAAGAATGTAAATGCATTTCTGAACAATGTACGACCAATATTTTAGTAGTCTGGGGATCGCTGAAGACCTACTCTAACCCAGATCTTCACATTGTGAAGGTAGGAATGAGACCAAGATACACCAGGTATGCACGCACGTATATCTCCAGGATCCTTATCATAAACCTTTCATCGTAATATTGTCCCCACTGGAACCATGAGAACAGACATCGGAGAAACTTACAGCTTGTCATCACCAAGTGACCATGCCCTTTGACCATGGCATTTGATTTTGGCTTATTATCAAGGTCGAGTTCCCTAGCCCTACACAATGTGACATTAAACCCCCAATGTGTTCCCAGGCCGTTTATTTTCCTAGTTTCTACTGTTTAGAGATAGTAATTGAACCACAGCGTTAACCAAGGAATAACATCCTAAATATGAAGACATCTCACATTTTGGCAACCAATAATTATAGCACGGTATCCAGCTTGTATTTCTTACACACCATCCCCTGATAATGTTTTTTTGTGTTGTTGTTGATGTTGTTGTTTAACGCCGTATTCAGGGACATTCCAGTTATATTACGGCAATCTGTAAATAGGGACCAGACAATCCAGTGATTGATATCATGAGCATCGATCCACTCGTTTGGGATACCATGACATGCATCAACCAAATAAGCGAGCCTGACCTCCCGATCCCGTTAGTTCTCCCTAACGACAAGCATGGGTTGCCGAAGACCTATTCTAACCCGGATCTTCACGGGTCTCCCCTAATAATATGAGGACTAGATCACCAATGGCCTTATTGTTTCAAATACAAAAGAAAATTATGAGTAATTTCGGTAAAACGGGTGAATCAGTGCAGTTAATATAAATTGCTCCACATTAGATAGGGATATTTCTATCTTTCCATGACACACAAATCTGATTCTCTATATGTTAAGTAGGGGCGGTCGGGTAGCCTAGTCGTTAAAGCGTTCGCTCGTCACGCCGAAGAACCGGCTTCGATTCCCCACATGGGTACAATGTGTGAAGCCTATTTCTGGTGTCCCCCGCCGTGATATTGCTGGAATATTGCTAAAAGCGGCGTAAAACCATACTCACTCACTCACTATATGTTAAGTATATGTTTAAATAGAGAGACATATATGAATATCCCTATCACACGTTGAGTAGTATAACAGCAACACAGACGGGCGTTGCCACTGACTGACTTTACCGTGGTGTGATCGAACTCGGTCCTTTTCGTGACGAGCCAACACGACTATCTACTAATATATCCCAATGCACTTTACCAAGAGGCCGCCAGTGTTCACAGTTATATGGGCAATTTTAACAAGGGAAGTCGCGTTAACGATTATGCGTACATCTATATATACGACAGGTGGTCGTTTGTGATACTACTGCCTAAACATATGTTGTAGTCAATACATCAACTTGCGACACAATGCCAGGTAGCCTACATAACTATATATATAAGTAATATCACTATATGGGAAATGAGTCAAATACCAATACTGACACAACAAAAGCCTATTTTATGAATAATGACGCAGGTTCCCTCAGACAATAACACCTAAAGCTAATCGTGTCTGCGGGGGCGGCGGGGTTAGGTGCTTGTGTAAAGCGTCCGCTCGTCACGCCGACATTCCGAGTTCGATTCCCCAGATGGGTATAATGTTTAAAGCCGATTCGAGGTGTGCATGGTAGTGATAGAGCTTGCGTATATCTAAGAAATGGCGTACAATCACAATCGCTCCTGGATGCGTGCCTACGTGATACTGCAGTTGCTGAGTTAGAAAACAGTGATGCTGCTGCAACGTATGAGCAAACAGTGTTAGTTTTGATAGAAGTATGATTTACAATGCACGGTCTGGTATGGAATCCTAGTAGGGACATTGTCGCGTTGCCGCCGTTACAAAAAACAAGCAAAGAGTGTCAAAATTAAGCACATTGCGACACCGCGACACTTATGCCATTTGTCGCGTAGTCGCGTTGTCGCAATTTGGTAAAATAAACAAATATTATTGTTGCGTTGTCGCGCGTTGAATAAGTTTTATATTTTGTTTTACCAAAGTGCGACAACGCGACTAATGGCATAAATGTCGATTGGTCAATTTTGACTCTTTATGCTTGTTTTTGTTAGACGACAATTCGACAACGCCCCCCCCCCCCCCCCCCCCCCCCAAACGATTTTAAATTTGAACGACACGGTAAACCGAACATTGAATATGAATGTCTCATTATCCCGTATCCTCATTAAATCTGTTGGCTGAACTTGATGTATTACTGAACTGGTTTACGAACAGACATACGGATATGATGGAATGCTGTTGTTGTCATGCAAGTGGTCAACTTCATATTCTAAATAAATAACACCATTGCCATAACATTAGGGAATTTATATCAAACATGTAAATTTTCAAAAAGAAAATGATTCAACGTTCTGGGTTTCTAAATATATCTCGGTTGAGCATGTCCCTGAATTCAGTTACAAAGGTCTCTCCATGGATGTAGGGGGACTGTGTGAAGGTACAAGCCGCAAGACGATAGTTATACTTAATCAAGTGAAACTTATTCAGGGCCCCTGCTTGTCGTGCGAGTGTTGCCTGGAACAATAAATGTATCCGTGCCCATGATTTTAGAGATTGGTCTATTACCACGATTCGCATAGCCTCCGTGAAGATCCCGGTTAGAATAGTCCTTCAACAACCCATGCTTGTCATCAACGGCGAGTATGCTTATCGAAAGAGGCGACTAACGGGATCGGGTGGTCAGACTCGCTGCTTGGTTGATGCATGTTATCGTATCCCAATTGCATGGATCGATGCTCTTGTTGTCAATTACTGGATTGTCTGGTCCAGACTCGAGTATTTACAGACCGGCGTCATACAGCTGGAATATTGCACCGTGATTACCCCTAGGACTGAGGAGGAGCCGCAGGTAGGGTCGGCGGCGTCGTCGTCGAGCTCATACCACTCACCACGTCTCAACCACCAGCTTCTATCGTTGCTCCGAATTAAATCGATATAAATCAATTTATTTTTCAACTTCAGGAGGAAAGCCTGGTTAGGTTGTATTCCTCATCGGCCTTGAAATAAAGATTAGAGTGATTCATATTTTTGAACTGACTTATGGAAGATAGTAATTTACTTACTTAAATGTAACTTTGAAAACGCCGCCTCGCCTGTCACAACGCCACAAGGTCTTGCTGGTCACATCTCTCCCAATAAAATGTCTCCCCATCACAACGTCTCCCCGCCACAAAGTCTCCCCATTACAACGTCTCCACGCCACAACGTCTCCCTGTCACAAAGTCTCCCGACACACAACGTCTCCCAACACACAACGTCTCCCTGTCACAACGTCTCCCCATTACAACGTCTTCCCGCCACGTCTCCCCGCCACAACGTCTCCCTGCCACAAAGTCTCCCTGTCACAACGTCACCCGACACACAACGTCTCCCTGTCACAACGTCTCCCCTTACAACGTCTTCCCGCCACGTCTCCCCGCCACAACGTCTCCCTGTCACAAAGTCTCCCTGTCACAACGTCTCCCGACACACAACGTCTCCCTGTCACAACGTCTCCCCATTACAACGTCTTCCCGCCACGTCTCCCCGCCACAACGTCTCCCTGTCACAAAGTCTCCACGCCACAACGTCTCCCTGTCACAACGTCTTCCCATTACAACGTCTTCCCGCCACGTCTCCCCGCCACAACGTCTCCCTGTCACAACGTCTCCCCGCCACAACGTCTCCCTGTCACAACGTCTCCCCGCCACAAAGTCTCCCCACCACAACGTCTCCACATCACAACGTCTTGCTGGTCACATCACTCCCTATTACAACGTCTCCCCGTCACATGGCCTCCCTGTTACAACGTCTCCCCGTCACAACGTGTCCCTGTCACATAGTCTCCACGCCACAACGTTTCCCTGTTCCAACGTCTCCACACCACAACGTCTCCCTGTTCCAACGTCTCCCTGTCACATCGTCTCCCCGTCACATGGCCTCCCTGTCACAACGTCTCCCCGTCACATGGCCTCCCTGTCACAACGTCTCCGCGCCACGTTTCCGTGTCACACCGTCTCCCCGTCACATGGCCTCCCTGTCACAACGTCTCCCCGTCACATGGCCTCCGTGTCACAACGTCTCCCCGGCACAACGTCTCCCCGGCACATGGCCTCCCTGTCACAACGTCTCCCCGTCACATGGCCTCCCTGTCACAACGTCTCCCCGTCACATGGCCTCCCTGTCACAACGTCTCCCCGGCACATGGCCTCCCTGTCACAACGTCTCCCCGGCACATGGCCTCCGTGTCACAACGTCTCCCTGTCACAACGTCTCCCCGTCACATGGCCTCCCTGTCACAACGTCTCCCCGTCACATGGCCTCCCTGTCACAACGTCTCCCCGTCACATGGCCTCCCTGTCACAACGTCTCCCCGTCACATGGCCTCCCTGTCACAACGTCTCCCCGGCACATGGCCTCCCTGTCACAACGTCTCCCCGTCACATGGCCTCCCTGTCACAACGTCTCCCCGTCACATGGCCTCCCTGTCACATCGTCTCCCCGTCACATGGCCTCCCTGTCACAACGTCTCCCCGTCACATGGCCTCCCTGTCACATCGTCTCCCCGTCACATGGCCTCCCTGTCACAACGTCTCCCCGTCACATGGCCTCCCTGTCACAACGTCTCCCTGTCACAACGTCTCCCTGTTACATCGTCTCCCCGTCACATGACCTCCCTGTCACAACGTCTCCCCGTCACATGGCCTCCCTGTCACAACGTCTCCCCGTCACATGGCCTCCCTGTCACAACGTCTCCCTGTCACAACGTCTCCCTGTTACATCGTCTCCCCGTCACATGACCTCCCTGTCACAACGTCTCCCCGTCACATGGCCTCCCTGTCACAACGTCTCCCCGTCACATGGCCTCCCTGTCACAACGTCTCCCTGTCACAACGTCTCCCTGTTACATCGTCTCCCCGTCACATGACCTCCCTGTCACAACGTCTCCCCGTCACATGGCCTCCCTGTCACAACGTCTCCCCGTCACATGGCCTCCCTGTCACAACGTCTCCCTGTCACAACGTCTCCCTGTTACATCGTCTCCCCGTCACATGACCTCCCTGTCACAACGTCTCCCCGTCACATGGCCTCCCTGTCACAACGTCTCCCCGTCACATGGCCTCCCTGTCACAACGTCTCCCCGTCACATGGCCTCCCTGTCACATCGTCTCCCCGTCACATGGCCTCCCTGTCACAACGTCTCCCCGTCACATGGCCTCCCTGTCACAACGTCTCCCTGTCATAACGTCTCCCCGTCACAACGTCTCCCCGTCACATGGCCTCCAAGCCACAACGTCTCCCTGTCACATCGTCTCCCTGTCACAACGTCTCCACGCCACAACGTCTCCTTCTCACATCGTCTCTCTGTCACATTGTCCCCCCGTCACATCGCCCCCTGTCAAAACGTCTCCCCGTCACAACGTCTCCAAGTCACATCGTCTCCATGTCACATAGTCTCCTTCTCACATCGTCTCTGTCACAACGTCTCCCTGTCACGTCTCCCCACCACAACGTCTCCCCATCACAACGTCTCCACGCCACAACGTCTCCCCGCTACAACGTCTCCCCATCACAACGTCTCGCCATCTCCCGGGTTACAACCGTCTCCGTGCCTCAATGTATCGCTGTTAAATGCGTCGTGCTGGTTACAATGTCCCTGACAACAACGTCTCACTGGTCACGTCATCACGTCACAGGTCTCTGTGGTCACCAGAGGACGTGTATCAGGTCTCTGTGTCATCAACCATTCTAAAGAGAACGTTTACTGTGCCGCTTTAATAGGCTCGGTATATCTATTTCTCTTTGTAGCCTGTATATTCTCCTCCTGCTAAGTGGGTCGTGTGTTTAGGGATCTGATCCTACTTCGGTCATTGTTACCACACCTTATGAGGTCTGTCAGAGTTGCGAGAGACATGATTGATGACCCTTGCGATCTTGACCAGCCCCACCCCCACAATTAATGGCTCGTGATGTATGACGATATACAGGGGATTACGGGGATCTCCTTGTTTTGTACGGGGTATTAGACACTGTCAAACCCTAGAAAGACGAAACAGTAACCGCAATGAGAGCCGAACGTGGTATTACAATAGCCTCGAACTGTATATCAGTCCATCATTACACGGCCTTATTGACGGTGAATCTTCCACTTCCCGCTGGGTGGAGCGTAGTGAAGATATGGCATCCCTTCCTGGAGTTCAACGCTACGTTCGTGGAATGTTAAAAATAAATTAATAAAAGTGCCAAGAAGAAAAAAACAGCTTTATTAACCTCTTTTTACGTGGCCGCCCTCATTTGATTAGCAGGGAATGGATACCCCAGAAGTTAATCCCCCAGGGAGCGAGGTGGGAAACAGAGAGGCACGTGGCACATTGAAGACAGCAAACCTGCGCAGGAAGAAACTTCAACAACTTGCTCTTTACATGTGAGTTTTTAAGGAAATGAGGACTGCAGATATACTGCATGTTCAGAAAACGCCTCTTCCTACTCTATGAGGACATTTTTTGCTGTCTAATCAAGTTTTTTAACTGTTATGGCGCCTAAAAGTGAGTTAGTTTGAGAATGTCGCTTTGAATCGTATCACATTCACATTATCGTGTCAGCTTAATGTGTAAGGAAAGACCCTAGGGACGTATAATCCAAAAAGAGCAACACAAAACAAAACAAAAAACCAGATCCATTCGTTCAGAAAGTTTCCCAAGCCTGTGTAGATCCGGATTAGAAATGGTCTTCATCAACCCATGCTTGATGCAAGAGGCGACTAACGAGATCGGGTGGTGAGGTTCGCTAACTTGGTTGATGCATGTCATCGGATACACAGAACACTGACTCCGAGTCCTTGTTTAGCCCCTTAATGCCGAGACCTAGGCAGGGTAGCAACAAGTACCATCTTTTAACGTCTTCTGGTATGACGCGACCATGGATCGACCCCTGGAACTCCGGGCGGACGCTCTACCACTAGACCACGAAGGCGGTCAAACGTAAAACTAAAACTGGCGGTGAAAACAATTTTAATGGATCACCGACATTCAGCGACGTCACCAGGAAAGTTATAATTATGTTTATGGAGAAGGGAGTTGGGCGGACTCGGAGAAGCTCGGAAACGTTCGTAAACATATTACAGATGAAAAGGAAGTGATATTCACTTCAGCAGGTTCACATATTCTTCCTGTTTCGTGAAATGGCATGTGTAAGTAACAGATAATATGTGTAAATGATACTGCTGTTGCCTAAGTCAGAGCATGCCACGTTCAGCGTTAGGTATTGACGGTATGTGTCGGCGTAGTTCAAGGTCGAGTAGGTGATGGTGTGAATATACGGTTCTCACAACGTGTAGTGCTTCCCACGACATGTATACCTCCCGTAGTAGTATCATGTCACATTGTTGTGAGTTCGAATCCCAGAGGGACGGTGGGGTAGCCTAGTGGTTAAAGTGTTCGCTCGGCACGCCGAAGCCCCGGGTTCGATTCCCCATATTGGTATAATATGTGAAGCCCATTTCTTGTGTTCCCCACCGTGATATTGCTGGAATATTGAAAGAAAACGGTAAAAACCTCACTCTCTCGCTCACTCACTCACTCACTCACTCACTCACTCGAATCCCAGATTGCCCAGATTATAATCCTTGGTTTGTCAGCGCCATACATTAATCCGAGCCGCCGACTAAAGGCTTTCAAACTCATTAAGCTGGCACGCCCTGATTTTACTGAAATACTCACTCGCTCACTCAAAGGAATACATATTATTCAAACAGTAACAATCAATCAGTGCATTAATACAAATATGTATCAGTGGCAAACTATATCTTAATGACCTAGGACCTGCTGAAAAAAATAGGTTTATCTCCCATACAACCCCGGAAACAAAAACGATAGATGAAAAGTCCCAAGCAAGTCTACAGTACTTTGGCAACTCAAGAGTTCTTAAGTTTCTCAAAATGGACTCAGTTTCTGGGATCGTTTCTATTTTATGATATGTTAAAGAGAATTTAACAACAACAAAATATTTTCGTTTCAGAGACTAAATGTCGGTCTACATAAGTACTGGAGATATGTACACTCTCGCTCGCAGTAATGCACGGTGTACCTGGCTGATACAAGGAAATGATGTACCCCATCTCAGCGTCATCAACATTCTCCTGTCTGGCCTACACTAGCAGCTCCTGCAGACACCGCCTGCACGTGGGAAGTTGGGTGCACTGCTTACTGGGCCCGTTATTCACCATTGTTTGTAGGTTTTATCTTAGGATTATTCCTATGTTTTTCCAGGCAGGCTTTGTCCAGAAGAAACATACCGTTCAACTTTTTCCACGTTGAGGCACCCGAGTCCCTGACGTCGTTCGGGGAAACACGGACCGCAGTTGCCCTATCTCCGTGCATGCATCTCGATTGGACCCGGCCTTCAGCAAGGTCTTCAGTAACCCATGCTTGCCATATAAGGCGACTATGCTTGTCGTGAGAGGCGACTAACGGGATCGGGTGGTCAGGCTCGCTGACTTTGTTGATGCATGTCATCGTATCCCAATTGTGTGGATCGATGCTCATGATGTCAATCACTGGACTGTCTGGTCCAGACTCGATTATTTACAGACCGCCATCATATAGCTGGAATATTGCTGAGTGCAGCGTTAAACAACAAACAAACATTTCGGCAGTTTAGCTCCATGGGCGCTACACTGTACAGTTCTAGGTCAATAATAGATGTAGATATTTCCAAAAGAAACATGAAAATATGAAATATATGAAAATCAAGAAAGAGTGTTGCTTAACCTTTTTCCGTGTGTATCAGGACTTCGTATTTAGGCCCACGCGGAATTATGCTCATTGGCCTAAAAACGGAAAATATTACCGTATATTGGCCCATAAGATTAAATTCGGATATTAAGTTTGGAGTGATCTTCCTCAACGTATTCCCCCATCTCCCTTCGGAAGTTAATACGTCGCGATGCACTGCACACGGCAAATCTTAATGTACATTCAACAGTAAGCACAGGTGGAGCCCCGGGCTTAAGTTCGGATAAACCATTTTAAATGGGAAAGTGTTTTTTTCCGTAATTAAGCCGGGGCTTAAATACGGGAAGTCCCGGTATATACCGCACTGTGTGTAACGTCTGCACCATCAATATCTGTTGACAGTCTCTAAGTTCTATTCAGTTACACCGCCAACAGCTGTCTGTTGTGTCCACCTTACGTCCATCCCTGTGGAGTAACAAACCTCTCAAATCCATACACTTGTACATTACCTTCACAATTATTCAATTTCTCACTTTCAGTATTTTTTTCCGTTAACCTCAAATCTGACGTAGGGGCAGCTTAAAATATAGATCGGGTGTCACAATGTCCGCTGAGTGTGATACTACGTGGATTGAATGCAAACAGAGAAGACAATCCCTTAATTTGACCTGGCCGGCCTAGTGTATTATCACACCCTGTTCACATGGAACCATTATACCATCAACCCTAACATTGGTTAACCTGTCCGACACAAGACCTATGAAGATCCGGGTTAGAAAAGGTCTTCAGCAGCCCATACTTGCCGTAAAAGGCGACTATGCTTGTCGTAAGAGGAAACTAACGGGATCGGGTGGTCAGGCTCGCTGACTTTGTTGATGCATGTCATCGTATCCCAATTGCGTGGATCGATGCTCGTGATGTCAATCATTGGATTGTCTGGTCAAGACTATTTTCAGACCGCCGTTATATAGCTAGAATATTGCTGAGTGCGGCGTAAAACAACTTCACTTTGTACATACATCATGCGATTGTGTTGCGAAGTGAATTGTTACCTTGACTTTGTATCTTATATATGCCGATATATAATATGTTATGTAACTCCGTTGTATATGGGCATTTGGCCTTCCGTGCAATAAAAGAAGTGACTTGAATCAGACACCACATAATATTATATGGTCTCTGATTGAATGGATTG